AGCCAAAAATTTCACATCTCGGCAACTAAAATCCAGGTGTAAATGGAAACTGAATATGAACTTCGGAAGTCGCACACTGAGGAGGAATATTTTCCTAAAATTTTGATTTTCTACAGTTTTCGAGTTAGAGAATTCGTAACTGTGAGTTAAGCATACGTGAAAGGTGAATTTAATTTTACGAGATCGCACGAAGGCAGGAAACATCTGAGTTGAAAACCCGAACAAAAATGTGAACACCTGGCAAACTAAAACTCTGCTCATCCAGGCCAGGTTAGGAGGCAAGTTACAATAGTTTTGGTGCGCCCCCTCTCACAGATGCGGAAATAAAGGTGAAGGAGGGTGGGAGAGAACGGAAGAGGGCCGGGAATGTGGTTCAGGTATCAGAAAATCGTAAAAGAGAAAAGAATTGAGATACTGTTTGGAAAGGAACTGAGACCCTGCTTAGAGATAAAAATTGGAAACAGAGGTGAGGATTTTGTGGAGTGGAAGAAGCGGGGTAGGGTTTATGAGTTTATAATACTCAGCAAGAAACTAGATATCAATTTAAAGCCAGCAAGCTTGTGTGCGACACCTAAATTCTTACCACGACAAAAAGACCCAGCACTTCTGGCTCGGATCCGAACCCACAAATTAGTGTAATATGAGCGACCAAGCCGAGTCAAGTTTTAGTAACTGTTGGACACAAACACAAGTTTCTGAAAAATTGCGTTTTACATCATCGCTGCAGCGTAAGATGCATTAAAAGAGCCATTTTCAAGAAACACAATCAACGGTACCTGAGCCTGCAGAAGTTTGCTTTGCCTCAACTGCGTTTTCACGGCTTGTCGATACTGCTTTCGGATTTGCAACTCTTTCGTCTGAAATCATATGCGAATCATAAAAGCCTCCTCAATGAAATTAACTAAGTTAAACCGCAACATGGATAGCCTCTGTCTCTGAATAGCGATGATATTTCCAGAACAAGGCCTTCAGATGCTCAGGCCCTCAGATTCCTTCTTCTTCGATCAGGCTCACGATGATTTGCACCGCAAAATTTGCCGCAAAAAACAGGAGAAAGCATGATAATATGAAGTGAGTGCGAGATAAAAAGAGAGAGAAAAAAGAGAAGATGCTTGCTTGAAAGGTACTCTCTTAGGAGAAGTTTTAAGATCTAAAAATGTGCTAAGAGAGTGGAGACACGGGCGAAAAGAAGTAAAAAGTAAAATAAAGCAGTAAGAAAACATAATTCGGCGCGAGCAGAGATCTGAAAATAACAAAGAAACTCCCTAATGATGACTTAAAGCCAAAAAGTATGACTCAAAAATCATTTGATATTTCTGTAATAAATTATGACACAATGAGAACCTTGAGCTCCTTGGGTTGCTGTTTCGATTGCAAAGCATGGCGCTTTGCCAATTCGTCAGCAACCCGCTGATTGTACTGCAGCTGATTTGAGGTCTCGGCTTCATGCTGCCTCTCGAGATGTCGTCGTTTCATGCGTTGGCTCTCGCTTAAAAGAGCCGATTCCAGTTCTTTGGTCTGTTCATGGTGTTTCCTCAAAAGCGCATGACTTGTTTCCAATTGTCGAGCTTTCAGTGTCAACTCCTGAAATAAAAACGAAATTCACAAATATTCTCCAGGCTTGAAACTTTCTGACAAAACTGTGTATACTCACAGTGGCAAATTTTTGATGTTTTTTTTTTTTAACATTTATGAAAATAGGTGCTCTGAAAAAACAGTACTGTACTAATTTGATATTGTATTTCTGAATTCGTCAAAATCCTAGAATGTTCTAAACTCACAACCAAAAATGCCGGTTATTTGTCTAGTAAAATCGCCTAAAAGTTCTGTCTTCAAACCATAACAAAGGATTCTTTAACAGAAAAAATTCCGAGATAACTGCCTTCCGTACAAAAAAACAAACGGCTGTAACGTTGTCGCATTTATACCACTTGTTACAGCCGATAAATTCTGAAACTGCGGAAATTTCCTGGTGTTCCTGTACCCTTAGCCCAATCCTTTAGGACCTAGTAAACTTTCAATCTTCTAGCACCCTTTCCCCTCCCCTACAGATGATAACACTTACGGAAGGACCTGGAAAGAGCGGCAACTGGACAAGACGAAAGACTGCGTAAACTGAGGAAGATGAAGAAAAATTCCTGCGAAATAACAATGAGAACTATCATCAGGTAGCCAAAAGCCAGATGCAAGCTTTAATGATGACCCAAAGATGCACAATAAGCACTGTTTGAGGCAGTGAATTGGCGATTGTAATAGAAAGCAAGAAGTGAGGGGAAAGAATGAACAAGATGGCATCAGTAGTAAAGCAAAAAACAAAGTTTTTTAGGATGAAACTGTTAAACGTACATCGGCTGCGAGTTTCTCGACGAGGTTATGCAATGCGATCATGCGTGACCGTCTCAGCCGACGAATTTCATTTTCCAGTGTTATTTTCTGATCACGTGAAAAATCAACTTCTGCTTTACTACGTCGCGCATTTAATGCGGCTTTCGTCTCTTTCAAAGCGCTTTCGTAGGCCGAACGCATCACATGTCGCTCTTTTAATTCCTTGAAAAGCATAAAGACAGTTCGCAATTATAATTCATTGCCATAAAATAACTATAATCAATCTACATGTCACTCAGTGTGCTAGGTGACTTTTTGCTGAAGTTAACAAAAGTTCGCTTATAATCTGAAACAGTAGGGAATAAATGGCCAGCGCACCTAATGCCGATGCGAAGATGCGTTTTTTGCATAGTCCCCCCCAGTTTTTGTCGCTAACGACACTGTTTTTCCGGCAGATCTAGCTATAAGAATTGAGTCTGGTCACCAGGGTTGTTTCAAAACATCCGCTCTTGAAATCCTAGCCTTCTAGCTTTTTAGTTTTCTGAGTTAGCAACTTACCCGCAAAAACAAAGGCCCGCACATGGAAACCACGTGGGTAAGAGCGCCCATTTTAAGGACTGGGGCCCGTACGCACATGTAGATCAAGTTTCCAAAGTTTCAGCCCTGTAGCTTTTATAGATTTCAAGATGAAAAATCGGTACAAACGAACACACAATATATACACACAGACAACCCCTCGTTAATAGGCGTTCCTGCATTGTATAGGTGTAAAAAACGTATAAAAAGTTATCGCAAAAAAGTGACCCAGATAAATCAATGACTTTCTATTTCCGTGTTATACAAGGTATTCTTGACAGTGCAAAGGCAAAAATTATAATTATAAAAAAAAACTAGCTTTTGTGACAATAATGAGTCATAAAAAACAGTAAAAATTTTCACGAAAGAAGCTTTGATCAGCAAAAGGCTTACAACTTTTGCTTTCTCTTTGTTGTGCTTGTATTCCTTTTTCTGGGCATTGGAGAATGCTTTTAGTTCGTTCTCATGCTTCGCATTCAGTTGTCGTCGCAGCCTTCGTTCGGCATCGTCAAATTCGTGAAGCTAAATGCATCATCACTAATGGAGGCAACT